TGTTCAATGTTGTAAAGCCATTGGTTCATTAGGATTAGTGAAACAAGCTGTAGATAAGAATGATTGAAAATTAACATCAAAATATCAATAGTCCATTAAGGATTAAGGCAGTTTTGGAATTAGAGCTGAGATGAACCCTGAGAATCCTTCAGAGATCCATCAGCTTGTCTTATGGTGGACACCAAACAGGTACAAAAAGCCCTGAAGAGCTTACAATCAAAGCAGACATGATAAGGCAATAAGGAACTTTAAATATGAGTAAAAGGGGAAGATTAAGGTCCATTAAGAAAATTAGTTCCACTTTTCCTTTTTTTTCCTCCTTTATTGTGCAAATAGTCCAATTTGTGACACAGATCTCATTGTGACACAAATCCTGGCTGGCTGGTTTTGCTGCTGTTCTCTGCGTGTGAGCAGATCCTGTCTCAAAGCCCATCTGTTTTGGAGCCTTCATAGGCCACAATCAATTGGCAGACAGGGCTGGGTTCCAAGGAGTAGATAAGACGGACTGTACTTTTCATTGAAAGGTAACAGTGTATTCTGAAGACTAGAGTGACCCAATGGTATTTCCTCAGTAATCAGTCATGCACTCTAATGCTTTCTAGAAATTTTATTTCTCCTTTCTTTCTCTCCATCTGATCAGCAAGATTTGGATGAATTATTAATGTTCCTTCTTTTTTTCTTTTCTTACGGTACAACTGTAAGGAGCTTGAAATAGAAAGGATGGGTAATGGTGAGATTTACAGGGAGCGTGTGTATCAATGGATAAGGGGTACTGATGGTATTTTCAAAGTAAAACTTTAGTTTTTCTGTGTTCCTCAAAGAATGAACACCTTCCCTTTGGGGAAACACAAGTAGTGCCTGCACAAGGGGATTATAGAGGAAAATGGGTCCTAATGGAAGGTGAGAGGTGGAAGCTTACTCTTCTGCTACGGATTGAGCAGGTTAGTGACCAACCCTTCTGTCTCTGAGGCTGGCATGCGAAATCCCAGCTCTATTTTCACCTTGGAGATGATGCACATTGGTTTTGCTATCTCAGTGCTGGGGTAATTTAGTGCCCTGTGGGGGAAAAAATGCTTCTGTGGGCAGAGCTAGGACACACAGATGGGATCCAACCTCTGCTTGGTATTTGAAGAACATGTTTAATATCAGTTATGTATATGTGGGAATTGGTGTGTAGTCACACTAAGGCTTTGTCCACCCCCAGAACTGGAGAAACAGAAGTGTTTGCTTTTGTTTCCGCTTCCTTCTCTATTTAAGCTGCAAGAACAAGAAGTTGTTTTCAATAAAATTTAATGAAATGAGATTCATGACAGCAGTGCTGCACAACCGCAGACTTGAGCTCTGTTCTTGAGCTCCATTTTGATGTGTTGTCATCTGAGCTCGTTAAGACCCAAGTTGAGAAACACAGCCTCAGACTGGGAATGAGTGTATCCATTTCACATCTCATCCTTAATAGATCTAGCAGCAGAAAGCTGAAGTTGACCAAGGCCCACTGTAAAATCTTGTGGGGGGTCATATCTGAAATAATCAGAATGACAAATTTCTTGAGTGGGAGTTTACTCTGGGCCAGTGTGAGGTACACAAGGCACATATGATTTCCCAAAAGATTGCCTTCCCCTGCACATATTTGTCATGCTCCTCTTCCTTCTGACCCCCTGCCTATTTCAGTCTTCTCGTATCACTACCTCGTGTTATCCTTTCAGCAGCAGGTGATGGTCTAGGAGCCCAGACCAGAGGATGAACAGGAGGAGAACACTGTGGCTTCCCAAGCACAGTCAGGAGGGCTATTGCTCTAACATGCAGAGGCTGTAACAGGCACCAGCAGTCTGACGATTATTCCTCTTTCTGGAGCAGCGTGGCCCAGTCTGGTTCTCTTACCTCTACTGCAGTATCTGAATATCCCTGTTGGATGAAGCAGGGTGTTGGATTTTGTGAATATTCTTTAGTTGTGTCTTGTCAGTTTTGCCTGCAAGCGTGTAAGCCCTGCAGCTCTATGAAATCGGTGACATGATTGTGTATGACAGTCATTAGTGGGTGAAACAGAAATCTGTCTGCGAGCATCTGTTTTGAGGGAGCCAAATATAATTAAAGTTTAACCATGCTGCATTTGCTCTTTTATTTACTGGGACCCAGTCCTTCTTAGGGATCGCAGTCACGCTCCTTGAGGTCCTTCTGAGGAGTTTGGCCTGCTGCATTTTGTCATTGTGTGTGTGTTTCATATAAATGTGTTTTGTATTACAGGCTGGGTCACACAAGTTTGTTCAGAGATTCACTTGAGGATGATGAAACTCTACCTTCTTGGATGTGTTCAAGTTTTTCCTAAGGGGAATACTTTTTGGTTTCAGGTTGTTCTGAATGGGCAGACACTATACTGCTGTGTTTCCTAGCATAAATCAGGACAGGTGTCATTTTTTTGCATACATTTCCAGCAAACTGATAGTATATTGTTGCAGTAAATGTCAATATAAAACTAATGCAAAGAGGAGAACTGAGTTCAGTGAATCCAGTGCTTTGATTTTCTCATGCACATAGCAGACATGGATATGCTTTGAATGGGCAGAGGATATCTGACAGCAGTTGGTTGCTTGCACTGTACTGGCTCTTGGTATAAAGAAGCCACTGAAAATTCTAATTACTAGTTATAGTTGTAAATTAATTACACTGTAGTCAAAGTGCCTAAGCATGACTGGAACCTCTCTGTGGCTTTGTGCAAACTAAAAGCAAGTGAAACCACAGTGGAGCTCAACCATTCTGCCAGAAAAACCCCTGAACTTTTATGAAGAAATAAGAACAACAACCACACACCAAAAAAAAAAAAAAAAAGAAGCGTGGACAAATGTAAGTTTGTGAAGGTACTGACTCAGAAAATAGCAAGGATGCAAATACACATTTCTTGTTGAGTATTGGCCTGGTTTTCCATGGCAGCCAGTACATGTCAAATTATTCTTTTTCAGTTGGGTGGCTATCTATGGTCAGTAGTGTCTCTACTGTGAAGTCAGTAGAACTTTTCCGCTGGCTTCTACAAGCTCTCTAGGTTGTACTGTAATGGGATGTGGTTTGGAACTGGCCTGAAACCACATTATATTGATCTCTTAAATTTGGGTTGTTTGTTTCACTAACTTAACTTGTATTATACGAGCAATCTGGAAATAAAAGATTCAAGAGACATTTGCACATTTCCCACACAAACCAAGCCTGGGAGATTTTTTTAATATTATATTTTAATTTCACACTTCTCTGGGTTACTTTTTCCTGGACTGAGCTAGAGCTTATTTTTATGTAGTGAATCTCTAAGGTGGGCAGTAGTCTTGCATTGATGTACTGCATTTTGTTAATTGTATTTCCATGATACTGTTTGAGCAACAGGGTGGATTAAATGTGGTTTTGTTCTGTAATTGATTCTATATACTTGACAATTAGTAAATAATATCTTAACTTAGTGGAACTTTGAGTAATGGCAGGATGTAATGCAGAGGTTGATTTTGTACAGACTCCCTAGTCAGAAAATGTCTTATAACATGATTGCCAGTTTATTTTTAAGGGGGAACTGGATCAGGTATTGAATTATGCTAGGAGGAAGGCACTCAGAGCAGCACCCATGCTTTTATGGAGCGTGAAGATCTTACTCAGGCCTTGGAAAAACTTTACGTAAAAGGTTGACTTGAGTTCAGCTCTACCAACAAATACATAGAAAACTTTGTTTTATTGCTAATGTTTTAAACTTTTTAACTTGATCTCATTTTAACTTGGGTGAATGTGGTCATCTGTTTATTATGGTCATCTATTTATTATCTGATGTTGCTTTTATCGCTTTGACTATGCTTTCTAGGTACAATCCTTCATATTGCAGTCATGACTTGCAGAGAACTTTCAAAAAGACAAAAATGGAGAACTGCTTTAAAGAAATTATAATTCATTTGAAAAATCCTTCCCTTTTACTCTGCTATTCCTTGTGTTATTAGTTTATTGATTTAGTTACATTGAAGAGAGGTCTGTGTAGTTAATTTTAGATGTATGTGCCACTACTTTACTGCAACTCTGAAATCTTAAATGTGCTAATAGCAGTAGGAAATAAGTTCCTACTCCAGCAGTTAACAAATCAAAAGGTTTTTGCATAAATTTGCAAATAAGCACTTATTTGCAATTCCATAAGATTAGGTGCTTAACTTCCAATGGAGAGCAAAAGGTGTCTTCCCAAGGTAGCTCTTGATGTCCATCTTAAATCCCTAAATTTGCCTCCCTTTGTCTGGCTGGTAAGTTTGAGAATGTTTTTAAAGAGACTGCTCTGAGGGGGCAAACCAGATAGAATGAGCCTCTCTCCGTGGTGGTTTTTTTGCTGATGGCTTTAATTGTTTCTTGGGGCATCCATTCTAATAATTTTTCTTTGTGACTTTTCTTCTTGAGCTCTGAGTACCTTCTTGTGTTACGGATTTATCCATGCAAGACAGAATGGTGGTGTGGGATACACAGGTCTCTTGGATATACTTTTGAAAAGAACAACTTCAATCCATCATTTCAATTACAGGCAATTAAAGATGAAAGGGATGCTTGCATTTTTGCAAGTACTAGATATTGTCACTGTTTTACTGAGCAACTTCCATGCTGTTTATTAATAAGTTTATGAATATTCCTGTGTTGAATTTTTGGCAGGTGATGCTCAGCTTGAAAAGGGCTTGAGTTGCAGTTTGGATGACTTCATGTGGCTGGGGAGGGTCCCTCTGTGGGTAAATGGATAGCTGTCAGGCCACAGGGGTGAAGGATATTGTTTTTTTCTCCAAGACACAACAACCTTCAGAGCGTTTAAGGGTTAGCGCCAATCAAATTTCATTTGCCTGTTAACTTTCTTTAAGAGGTCTCCCTTATTAGGTGCTCCATCAGGTTCAAAGGCTGCACTGAATGATGCGGGGATATGCCAAGCCTCAATTTTTAACTGAGCTGCACTTGTATCAGAACCAGTGGCTCCTCGGTGAGAATCTTTGTGACTGCTCCAATTTTTGTCTCCTCTGTCATTTCTTCTTTTTACAACACACTCGTCGATGCCCTGATAAAATGAGATTGTGATATTTTACTTAAGTTGGGTTCAAAGATGTCATAAATAAAATCTCAGTGTGGGTAAAAGTATTATAATCTAGATCAGTGAGTTCATAATCTGAGTATGTAAGCTTGGACTGAAGAACACAGCCAGCTCTTCGCTTCTGTTCAGAACTGCACTGCCATGTGCATGCACATCTCCTGGGGCTGAGTGTGTTATGCTTCTGCCAGGCAATTCTTTTTGAAACTGTTTTTGTACGACTTGTACTCAGGACTTAATAAAACAGTTTGGGATTTTGGTGCAGTTCACTTGCCTAATATTTCACCTTACTTTTTGTGTTCCATCTGTTGATAATTATTCTCAATCTTAGATTGCTTTTGACCAGATGGATTATTTTAAAATTGCATCTGTAGGTGCAAGAGACCACCACAAAATTGTGTGTGTAGTCATGGATGTGCATATGCAAGTGTCTAAGGTGTATGTGTCTTGCTTCAGTCTGAACCTTGTCTCTTTAAGCACTGAGGTATCCCTTAGCTGTTTTGTTGCTTTGACCATCTAAAGTTCAGAGGGCTCTGAACTTCAGCTTGCAGATCAGTCTGTGTATTTACTTTGGCTCTCAGGCTGTGGAGAAATCCTGCCTGGCCTTGGAGCCAGCCCATTTTCTGATTACTTTTCAACAACTTTTACCTGAAAGGCTTTTCAACTGGTACACTCTTCTGGTGGTGGTGATTTCTTCTGTACCTGAATTGCAGCAGGCTCAGGGACAGCAGTCAAGCTCAGGGACAATATCATTCCTTTCCTGTTTATGTACTTTAAAAACATTGCTGCAAACACCCTTGGATCCTAAGACACCAGGGAAGTGTGAACTTGCATCTTCTATGAGACGTGGGAGACCACCAAATCACTCCTCTCTAGACTGTTCTAGTTCTCCAGGCCAGTAGTGAGCTATTCCATAATTAATATTCCACTGAGTAAAATGGGGGTAATATTCAAATAAAATACATTTTAACTTTATTTTCTTTGTTCCCTGCTCAGCCTTCCATAACACAAGAAAAATTGAGCAAGCTTTTACAGAAATCACTTTTGGGTAGGAAAACATTCATTCCTGAGGAAAACTGTTACATATTCATGGTTTTAATTATCCTGTGCAGCCCCAAGTGTTCAAAGCACAAGTATCGAATTACAAACAGAAGTATAATAAATTATACATAGATTTGTGCCCCTCCTGTGTATATGTCAGGCACTAAGGAGTGCTGTTTTGCCTACACATACATAGGCATGTTTATCTAGAGAAAAAGAATCAATGTATAATTTATTATCTTTTTCCATAATGTGCTCTGAACTGTTTGAACAATCTTAAACATAAGTACACAAACACAGATGGCCTGGCTGTTCTGTTTTGGTTTGGCGTGATAAAGCTGTCGTCAGCTGCTGTCTAGTTCAGCCACACTTAATCATCCCTTGATGGTCTTAATACATGAGCAAAACCTAGGTTGTGAGAATCTGGGTTTGTGAGAACATATGGAATATTTAGCTCTGATGATGGCTGTTGTCACACTTTGATAAAGGTTTCTGCCCCCTTCACAGAGACAGTGAAATGTCCCGTATGGATGCTTCTCTTTTGATTCAAAGCAAAGTGATCCAGGCTTGTTTTAAGACATTTGTGAATTGTGTTCATGTCGTTCCTGCTGACTTTGAACCAAAGGGGATGAGAAACACATGTTACTTCTCTTCCTTGGGCTCTGCTGTGGGAACTGTAAATCCTAGAAGATGATTGAAATAGTTGTCTGGTGGCACTGAGCTATTAAGCACTCAAGATTTACATGTGATTGAGCTTTTATTCTCTTCATGATTTGCAACAATTAGTTATGTTGGATGGAGCTTTTCTTAGCCCGATGAATACTGCTCTTCAAATACTAGAAATTAGGAAGTTGTCAACATTATTTCACCTTCTAATTTTTATTCTCGTGCGTATTGTGTGATTGACTCACTCATGTAATTACTAATCACTCACAGGATTAGTTTTTAAGCACATTGTGTGTTTTCTTCTTCAGGTGTAAATCACTACTGAGGCATTACAGAATAAGTTGAGGGGAATATGCAGTCTATAGGTTATTCAAGCCATGTGCCTTATGGGATCAAGATGTATGCCAACCTGACACGTGTTGGTATTCTATCAAATGAAGTGTATGCAGTTGGAACATCTGGCAGTCCTCCTTTCTTTCTGGAAGCTGCTCTATTTCACTTGACCTTTGTGCTGCCCAGTACCCTTAATGTCTCCAGACATTAAGAGGGCTAACATTGTGCCAGATTTTTCTCCTTTTTTGTGCATCTCAACTGGAATACATTGTTGGTTCTCAGGCTTGTTGTGTGTCTTGAACAAGGTTCCAAGTAAGCAAGCAAAAATGTTGATAATAATAGCCTTAAATAAATAGTCCTCCCTCCTTTTTTTGTTTGTCAAGATGTAATACAACATGAGAGTGAAAGGGAAAGAAAAAAATAAATAGGAAAAAATGTTGGATAAAAACGCTGTGTAGCCAAAAAACATTGTATACATCATTACCAGTTTTCTCTCTCCTCTGTTTTTTCAGAGTCTGATAGGCTATATAAACTTAAGAAAATCATCATTATGTAATAAATTGAATCAATTAAATTGTTTTAATTTCATTTCTGAGGTTTTTTATTGGATGCCTGCCAGTATTTTCCATGAGAGAATTACTCTCTGGAAGCCACCATAGAATAATATTTTTCCCAGTCTGTTTGCATTATAATGGGGTGACTAACCTAACTCTTATCATATTTGAAGGTAGATTCCAGGTGGCTGTCTCAAAGGTGCTGAAAATGAGGCACTTGTATCAGAGCTGCCGTGGTAGCAGTTAATTCCCTCAATAGACAAATGTATCCCAACTTGTCTTTGCAGTACAGCCATCACTGTGTCACATAAGATATATGTGATCTATAGTTTGAAAGCTTTTGAGTCTGCATGAAATAGTAAGTAATTTTTCTCATGAAATAGAGCTAAGCCTGTTAGTGTGGTTTAGTTAAATCTCAGCCAATTAATTTTTCATAGGCTGTGTAGCAGGGATTGAAGGAGCATGCAAGGTTTTTTTCTTGCTCCTGGGTTTTGGTTTGAGCAGTGGTCAGCATATGCAATATAGAAGAATTTCTGTGCAGTTATTTTTTCTCTAGAGGAATAAGAGGATGTCCAAAATTTTGCATCCTTCTAGTTTGAGCTCCTAACACCTGCCCCTTGAAATTCTTTTAGTGTTTGTGAAAAGCATCCTGATTACTGGATACTGAAGGATACAGTGATTTACAAAATTGTTGGTTTTGCCCATGCCTGGAGACTAGTGATTTAAACAATTTTTCATCTGGAACTAGTTCTACTTTTGAAATTGTGTCATTGCTTCCATTACTGTGAATGTCTGCCAATTCCCATCTCTCCCCCCTGGGAACAGCCTAAGCATCTTTTAGCAGCCTAAGGGTGAGGGATCAGAAGGAAAATCAAGAGAGTATGAAGGTCAGCCCCTTTCTTTCCTATCAAGATACGTTGGCCACATCAGTAAACTGATAATGAGGCGTCACCATTTTGTCAGAGATGAACATGGCTGCAAAAGTCACGGTGGAGGAAGGGCCTGTGCAGCCCTTTTTCACTTTAAGAAATGGGATTAGGCTTCATTCAGTTTTTTTGCTATACATCTGTTCTTGAGCACTGCTTTGTGGTTTCTGCTTATACCTTATAATTTGGCTTTTCTGTTTATGATGGGAATGCCTTTTCCTTATGCAGATATGAAGTGCCATTTCAATCAGTTTGGGTTACTCTTATTGTCCTCTTTATCCTCTGACGCATGGAAAACCACTTATTCTCTGCCTAAGAACTGAAGCTGCCACTGATACTATGCAGATGTGTGCTTGCTTTCTGTCAGTGATACAGATTTGCATCCTTAGAGCAAAACTGTCCCTTGAGACATCAAAACATTATGCCCAAGCCACTGTTCCTTTCTTTTCCCGCAGATTATTCTTTTTTTGTTTGGTTGTTTGGTTGATTTGGGGTGTTTTTGGTTTTCTCTATGACACCAGAAAGAAATTACCAGCCCGGATCAGAGCAGGAGACCATTAAACCCAGTTAAATCCAGTAGTTTGGCTTTGAAGTCACCAATGCCAAAAATATTGGAAGCAGTAGCTGGGATAATCAGTACCTTTTCTTTTCACGTATGATTAAAGAGTTTAAACTCAAAGGCTTACTGTTTGAAGCCCTTCCAGAATCACGTTCTGTATTAAACTGATTGCTCTTATCTCTAAAGGAATTCCTGCTTTCTCTGAGTTTCCCATTATGACTACACATGGTGTGAAAGGGTCCTCTGTTTTGCCATTTTTGGAAATTATAAGCAGATTTTAATAGTTTCTACTCATTATAACATTGATGGTTAATTTTATAGCTTCCTTCTGAGTTTTTCCATTTTGATAAATACTTGTTTTTTGTGTGCATGTTCTCCTGGAAGCATGATAGTTATAATTGTACGAGACCCAGGCATCTTCTACTTCCCCAGTGTGGTGTCCACAATAGGATGCTAGCATCAGTTGGATTAGTTATGTGGAAGATCAGCTAGTGCTGCTGCTTTAATAGTTGTTCCAGGGACATTCAGACAGTTTAATGCACATCCACTTGACTATCCTGCAGGCTTTTGTGATATTCACCACTCCCTCCAATTGAGGGTATACAGATTCACAACAAAAATTATGTGTGACTTACAGTTGCAACTTCTTCACACAAATTTGTATTTCTGTTCAACTCTGACAAAGCGTGCTCTTTTACTTGTTGCATCATTGCTGGCACTGGCATGGAAAGAGAGGAGGAATTCTTGGGACCAGGAATAGGATGAAAAACTCCTCTGTTTCCTTTGAGACTTGTCAGTTACTGTCAGGTTTTTTAATAAGAAAGGCTTTTGTTTGTTCTCAGTCTTCCACTCTTGGAAGATGAAATCCAACAGCAGTTGGTCGAGTATAAT